ATTATGGTTGACTTGATTTTCCAATTAATGAGTGTTTGAATAACCTATTATACTAACCTATTTATAACCCCCGCCACTTTGTTGATTGCCCCTAACCGAGTGTTCCGAGCCAGAGTCCGAGCATACTGGCGGAGGAATCGTGAGCCAATCACCTTGCGTAATTTACTAATGAGAGCGAGGCTCGAAGACCAAAATGTATGTGTGACGTAGTTATCGAAAGAGTGTATTGCTTTTTTGTTTGGCAGAAGGCAAGTAGTACAAGTTGGAGGTACCGTATCTGAGTGGAATTATCTAAAAGGGGCTATACCCCAAGAGCATAGGTCAGTGGCTGTGATAAGTTGCCGGGCAATATTCGCCTTCCCATTATTCTTCACGCGCCCAAAAAATAATTTTTTTCTTGTTTTCCTCTCCCCCTTTTGAAAGCGACTGTGGAAGAGGCAAACCATTAAGGCCTGAATCCACGAGCGCTTTTATTGTCGGCGAAATGCGAAATATTTCGCCTGTTTCTTTTGAATTGTGAGCAATCAAGTAGAAATAATTTATTCGAGTGGTCGCAATTCAAAAGAAACAGGCGAAATATTTCGCATTTCGCCGACAAAAAGCGCTCGTGGAATCAGGGCTTTAAGCCCGTTCTCCACTAGGCGAATTTATTCGCGCGAACAGATAAAAAGTAGGAAGCGATCCTACTTTTTCGCCGCGAATTTTTTCGCCGACCAATCACGTTGCCGGATTTCGGTTTTCGCTTCGCGTCGCGCGAACAAATTCGCGTAGTGGAGAACGGGCTTAAGGCAACCTTGCTCCCGCGTTCTCCCCGTTCTCCCGCTGTCCGCTCGTGCTTGAATTACGAGGCAGGGATAATTTGGGTTAACTATGAATATGACATAAGACTAACGGATAACAATGGATAGGCCTTGAATGCATGTCTATTATATCCAAAATGGCGTATGATCCATTGAGCCATGTTTAGAATTTTAAATAAAATATTGCACGAGATTATTTATCGACCCGCAGTACATGATGAGCTCGACACAAGGTTGTCCTGGAGGCCGAGGACGTGGAAATAAACCAAGTGGTCAATTAAGAAAACCTGGCGAGATTCGCACACCTGAAGTTGCTGAAAATAATATATCTCAAGACGATGAAAAACCACCTGTACAAAAGCTTGAACTGAGCGTCAATGTGGCCAGTAAAAGTGGACCAAAACAGCTTGCACAAGGTTTGTATTTACTTGATGGTGCTATATTGTACTATGTTTTACTATATTTACTTGATGGCGCTATACATGTGCCTATGTAAGCAGTAAGCTATGTTGGGGTTATGCTGATCGACAGCTGATGGAAATAAAATTAAGGTCTCAGTTTTAATGGGTTACCGTCACCGAAAATTTCAAAAGTTGATGCGGATTTTTTTCATTATTTATTATTTTTCACGATTTGAATTTGTCAAATTCTGAGCTAAAAATCTGAATTTCGACCAAAAACATTCATGAAAAATTTTGACGATTCTTGAGCTTTTTGCTAGCTTCCGAGCTATCATCGGCTATGTCTTTGATTTTGTTTCGCCGTGCCATTGCTAACTGTATAAACAGAGTCACTATTTGCAAAAAAATTCAACACAAGCTATTTTTGAAACACTTGCTATGCAAATTTGACAAATAATGAAAAAATATTGAAATAATGAAAATTTCATGCGGCTGCCAATAACACATGTGGGCGGGTGACGGTAAACTGATACCTTAATTCCATCAGCCCTATGTTGGGCTTTGTTGTACTATGTTGTACACATACACTGTAAAAAGTCATATATGAAACATAAATAATGCACTGATATGGAAATTTACCGATCTCAAGTGAAATGTATGGAAATTCTCAGATCTCAAGTGGAACACACACGTCGAGAACATCGTACGGAAAGCTGCTAAGCGTATTTATTTGCTAAGACAACTCAAACGAGCTGATGTAGATTCCAAATCGTTAATTAGATTTTACTGTTCAAGTATAAGATCAGTACTCGAGTATGCTTGTCAGGCGTTTCATACTAGTTTGCTGCAGTATTTATCAAATGATATAGAGCATATTCAGAAAAGAGCCTTGCGTGTTATTTATCAAGATTTGAGTTATACGGGAAATTTAAAAAGAGCAGAACTGGAAACCTTGCATGACAGACGGACTATGCTGTGTGATATGCTGTTTTCAAATGTTATTATGAACCCACAACATAAATTGGCTGAATTGCTACCAGCCCAGGTTTTTTTTCAGGATTTTCACTTGGGTCCGTTTTTGCAGAGAAGATTGAGTTTAGCTGAACAACTGGGGTGGCTGTACCCCCCCCCCCTACCGGGGGGCTGACACCTGTACTCAATATGAAATGTAGTTGAGACGGAATGTGTTAAAGCAGGGGCACTAAGGGACACTATAAATTGGTTAAAGATGGCGAATGCATAGTTTTTCTTGTGTTACAGCCATTTTTTTTTAATTGTCGGGTTTCCAACTGAAAACTAATTTTCACACGTCACAAATTTAACTCAAACAACTTCATTTTTACTACACTGAAACTTTGGTGAGAAGATTGAGTTTCAAAACTCAATTCAAGATTGAGTTTTTGGCTATTTAACGGCCCTAAAAAATCCGTGAAAAAAACCTGCAACCAAAAATATAAACTCATATGGCCTGAGAAACAATAGAAAGTTTAACGTTAAGTGGACAAAGACAAATAGATTTAACAGGGCTGCAAATAAATATTTGACTTGACAGGACATTTGCCGATCATTTTTTATTTGGTCGGACATAACCTGAATTTGGTCGGACAAAAACCAACATCACTCAGACATATATATGTGACAAAATATATATAAGTCACGAGATAAGTATGTATGCCATTCCGGTGCAACGTTAAGTAAAATTAAATGCTAGAACGCCTCGTTTTATTTGCAAAATGCAAATTGAGTGAATTTGCAATCGGATTTTGTCACAGCAAAAAAATGTATAATGTGACAATTTATTTTGTGATCGGACCAATGTCCGATCAAAATTACTTTTGCTCGGACATTTGCCAAATTTAGCCAGACATTGTCCAATGTCCGACAGTAATTTGCAGCCCTGATTTAATAATAGTTTTATAATACATCAAGCTGCAAAGTTATAGATTTATTGATTATAATTGTAAATAACTACTTATTGAATTTTTAATGTAAATAACTACTTATTGAATATTGTAACAAATTACTTTTTATCACTGTAATTCAGTCCTCGGACTGCAATGGTTGATTATATTAAAAGATATAATAATAATAATAAGTGTGATAACTGATGTCATAGTGATATGTGTTTTTTTATTTCTTTAACTTTGCCACAGAAATTAATGGAAGGGTCACCACAACAGCATGCACCAATTACTGTAGATCCTTGTGTTCTGCGCATATCCTCATACTCTGATACTCATATTATGCACCAATCAATTTATACTGTCCACATCCCGGCATACCCCTGGGCATTTGAACTTTTTGAAATATGTTTGCGATCAAATTTCCCACCCCCAGGACAAAAATGCTGTTCAAATGCCCTACATATAATGGAAAATTGATGGTCAAATGCCCCAACCCCAGATCATTCTGACTGTAAATTCTATCAGATCAAGTTTGGAAATTGTGTGAAAACATATACACTGAATAAATGGCCTACATATAACCACAGAAAATTGATAGTCGAATGCCCCAAACCCGGATCATTCTCACTGTAAATTCTATCAGATCAAGTTTGGAAATTGTGTGAAAACATATACACTGAATTCTGAAGATAACTTCAGCATTTTAATAAATGAAACACTGTATTACAAAAATAGGTACGCGCTGCGTACATGTGGGTAGCCTGCATTGTTCGTCTTGTTTGCTAATCGCTATTGTCATTGTCAAATTCTGAATTTACTGAAAGAAAGTATTACGTAAATTGGACACAGTTGAAATATTATATACATTTAATCACATACAAAACATCAGATATGACAAAAATACGTAAGCGACTGTTACGTGCATTTTTCAATAATTTATAAGCATAAACAGATCTAAGTCATGAAGTTACAAAGTATTTTAATGTGTCTGCAAAAATAATTTGCACACACTGAACAGTACAAGGTCTTATATGTATACGAAACAAAATACTTCACATGATGAAATACAGACAGTACCGAAGAACACTTCACACAAGAAGAGTTCTTGTTCAAAGGACAGCATACATTAAAGGCTTAGCCAATAAAACATCGTCCTTAGATCTCTAGTCCATGCAAAGATATAAGGATGATGTTTTCCGGCGGGGTTGAAAAAGATCGACATATTCTTTATTTAGTGATGATTAAACAACGACATATTCGATCCCATATGTATTGCTAATGACATTCAACTTGCTTTCAACATTCGACAAATAATATCCCAAAGACTTCGTGCGCTAATATTCCACTGACCCTTGTGTAAACCGTGCTTGGCTTTCTATTTGCCTTAACTTACAGATTCGACCAGCGCATTCGAAAAATATAATACAAATATATTACACATTCGACAACTACTGTATATTTCGAAGCCCTGATCCGATTCCAATGACGTACAAGCATTATGCGGCAACGACATACTCGATTCTATATATATTGCAATAGTCTCGTGCGTTTAAATGTGACATTCCTTCAATATAGACTAACGTGGTTTTCATTTTCTCATCGAACGATCGTCGCGCGCTATAATCCTATATCATTAATTTCTAACTACAATTTTTTATCAAACTGATATGTCGTGTTTAAATATGACATTACACGATATAAAACAGACCCCGTGCGCTAATATTAACCCCAATGCCTTGTACAAGCTGTGATTATATAAACAACAACATATTCGATTTTATATGCGTTGGAAATGACTTTCAACCTGATAAAACATATTAAAATAAAGACTTTACTAATTTACTAAGAATACAAAAACACATCTCTATATACTTAATAACCTGTGTTTTCTATAGACGGTTCGTATTTCAAGGATAAAAGGAACCGCGCAGCAGGACACCGCGGACACGAAAAAACAAACAAAATAAAATAAAAATAAAAATAAAAATGAACAAATATTTTGAGACTTTTGAGTTGGTCACTTCCCAAAATATGCAGACACAGCAAAGTTGTTTTGGTTTCTGAGTTTTCAACGATATACCGAACTTTCGATCGCCAAACTGTCGTACCTGCTTCGGCTTACCGACCTCGTGCCCAGGAACTTGGCGGACAGACATCGCTCATCATCGATCGCTCATCGTTTTTTCAACATGATCTCTTCTCAAAATTAAGGCTATGTCTTAATTGTAAAACTTTTGAAAATTAAGGATATGGCTTAAATTTGAAATTCTCCAAAATTAAGGCATAGCCTTAATTTAAAAAAAAGATCGCCAGATTTGGATTGGATTAGGGTTAGACTAAGATTAGATTAGGATTGGGGTTAGGGGTTCGAGGTTAGGGTGGGGGTTAGGTTTAAAATCAAGGCAATGTCTTAATTTGAACGCTTTTTACTATTAAGACATAGCCTTAATTTTCGGAAGAGATCGAGCTGCGTTTTTTTCGTATATGATAGTGGATAGCCCGCGAACGGGCTACCCACAAAAATTACATCTCATGCTTTATAAAGTTTCCTAAAAGCATTTAAAATATACTCCTTTATCGCCTCCCTTAAAATTAATTGTACTTTATATGACCCCCCTCCACGGTAATTTGCAGTGCTGATGAGCTCCGTTTTCTGTGATGCGAGAACAAAACACTAAACGCCCATTTGGGAAAAATAATGGCTGTGTGCGTGCGCACACGCCAGTTTATTGATAAATAATGTCCAATAAATTATATTTACATAAATGAAATAACAGATATCACAGAAAAGGTGGGGGCATTTTCCCGCCACCTTGAACATATATATGATAAGTTAGCTAGCAGTGACAGAAGCAGCAGGCGACCGAAAGAGAAATGGGAGGGAAGGGAGGGTGCAATCGAAAGACGAAACTGACTTGAGATCTTGCTCCAATGACAGCTTCAGAGGAATGAATCACGCACAGACAACTCGCGCTTATATATGTCCCATGTATTACCATGCGATTGCTTCGTGAAGTAAAATCCCGCAATGTAACAACTTTTCCCTGTGATATTCTGTCAGGTGCGCTAGGTCACTATGTAGCTAAATGCCTATACTATATGTCTAAATAGAACGCGGGAGGCAATGAAATTACTATTCGGCGAGCAAATAGTGCCTTTTTGATTTTTGAAGCTTTTTAATAGTCTCAGACCTTGTGCAATCTGGTGTATTAAATGGTCAAATGCCCCATATGTCTTGTGACTCAACGGCAAATGCTCTACCCTAACAGCAGTTCAAAAGGTCAAATTTCCCGCTCTGGGGATAGAGCAAGGTGTCAAATTCCGGGGGTGGGCATATTAACAGTATAAATTGATTGGCGCATTATTACTAGGGTTAGGATTGTTGCTGGGGATACCCATATCCAGGATCTGAAATTTGCAGTATCCGATATCCACAGGATACTAAAATTAAGTTTTGGATACCAAATAGTGAATGACTTGTAATAGTTTTGTTTGTGGAAACACCACGTAAATTTATTACTGCAAAGCTTTCGATTCGTAAGCCCGGATCTTCATCAGTGCTAATAATATGTGACTTGTTTAATTCACACGCCCTTTTTATATACAAAATATATAAAAAGTTCTCTCGCAAAATGAGAGTCAATTGAAATCGAGAAGCACAATACTATAGTTCAGGAGGGAAAGCCACTAGACAGTACGTGGCGTGCTCTCTTTAATGTGCAAAATTAATTTCTCTTGTCTTGGATGCACCTCCGCTCCTACGAAATCTCCCACGGAGTATCATCATTTGATTATGCGTGTGAATTTCAATGAATGGGTGTGCATTTAAGCGCCATTTTTTACACGGGTGATGATTCCAAAGTGCGGGTGTCACCCGCTCAATGCGGATGAGTTCATATATTTGTAGGTGTGGGTATCTCATTTGATGAGAAAAGGGCATGGTCTCTAGGTGTGGTCATCCCAAATTAACTATTCAATTTCATGTAATTTTGGAATTGGACATACACTTGCTCTGATGAGAATCTTGTTGGAAAGTATGCTTTATTTCAATAAGAATAACATGTTCCTGTGTTTTAACAAGGTAGTATCAACATTTTATGCACAATTCAATTTGGTAATCATTAATTTACGGTACCATTAATATACTGTAAATTAGGAACTCAACTGCATACTGTTTTTAATTTTTGAAGTAACCGCATGTAAAGAAACACTGACGAAAATCACCATTGTTGTTTGTCGGCGAGGATGTGTTGCATCTTTTTTAATTTTCATCCTCCTTGTACAATTTTCACACTAACATAGAATTTTTCAATCTCATAAATCTGTTGTTTTTTCTTTTGGAATTATCACATTTTTGGTGGCAAAAATAATGTCACAAACTAGGTGCATGCCAAAACATTTTAAAAATAAGTTACGGGTGATTTCATGATTTTATTTGGAAGAGAATACAATAGGAATCTTAAATCTGAAGTTTGTTTAACTAATAAAATATAATTAGCTATTCCTTGATTTTCTTTCACATTTTTCTTATGTCTTTCTAGATTTATCTTCTATATTCCATTTATTCTATATAGTGTCTCCCCTATTTTCTTTTACCATCCCACTTCCATTATTCCATCTTCTTTTTCTCTTATATCTTTCTTATCACCCCTCTTTCTGTTTTTTTTTCTCCATTTCTCTCTGCTGTTATTTTATATATTTTCTTGTAAATGTTCCTTTGGTTTAACTTTCTCTTATTATGCTTTTTCTCTCTCTACTTCCTTCTACTGTATGTTCCCTCTATATCATTCTTTATCTTACTTTTATTGGGTTTCTTTTCTTTGTTCTCCTGTTTATGATTCTTTATTTGGCCATTCGTCCTTATATCTTTCTTCTGTCCATTACATTGTTTTATATCTCTTTTTACCTTCATATTAATTTTGTATGCCTTTTTATCTAATATCTTTATTCTTTCTTTTCAGATGTTGGCACAGAAAGGAAAGTTGAAAACTCGACAAAAGAAATTGAAAGTCAAAATGTAGACAACGTTTTACTGAGAGCAGTCAAAAATCCAGTATTTGTACCAAAAACATTTCAACAAACGTTTAATTCTGCGCAGACTTCATCAAGTCGTTTAGCTTCAGCAATAAATGCTCCAGAGTTTGTGCCAGGTAAAGGTTTCTCTAGACATGAAGAACCAGCGGAGGAAAGACTTCAAGCAATAGAACATTTTGTGAATAACAAAATAAAACAACTTACAGAAGATCCAGGCTTATTAGATGAACTATCAATATCAATGGCAAACTATTTATCAGATTATATTAGAGTTGAAAACGATATGATAAAACTATCAGACTTACTATTTGAAAAGGTAGGTCATCTTCAAAACTTCTAGTATGTAAAGTGTGTATTTATTGATTGCTCTAATTACTAATAGGAGTATGAAGTCTTCATGCACATGTGTGTACAGTAGAATTTGCACTGTCCTGAATGTATGTGGGGTATACAATACTGTACATAATACATTTTGTTTTATAGTGTGTATCAGAGCAACACTTCCAGTACACTGGATCAAAACTAGCTAATCACCTGGATAAGTACTTAGTTCCGAAAACGACAGAACAATTACAATTCAGGATAGTATTTCTGAAAAGGTAAAGCGCTATAAACTATATCTTTATCGCTTCCCCCTAAATGGACAATACTACTCAGTCCCCTTAGCGGCAATTTTGCAGTACTGACGAGCTCCGTTTTCTGTGGATACAAAACAATAAGACAATTACACCCATTTGGGAAAATAATGGCTATGTGCGTGAGCACATGCCGATTTATTAATTAATCCAAAATGAATATTAATTTCCATAAATGACAATAACAGTTCTCACAGAAAAGGTGGGGGCATTCTCCCGCCACCTTGAACAAAACTAATCTAATAAGTGATTGGTAACAGCACACAACGAAAGAAAATAGGGGAGGGAAGGGTGGGACTTTGGAAGAAAGTATGCAAGTGTTGCTCCTGACTGACTTCGGTAGAATAACCTAACCTTGACACTCGCGCCTTTTATACGCAGCATCAGAGTAAAATTCCCAAATGTAGCAACTTCTCCCCGTGATATTTCGTTGTATGCGTTACGTCATCATTTCATTAGCTATAGTAAATCTAACTATATATATATATATATATATATATGTATATATTATATATATATATATATATATATATATATATATATATATATATATATATATATATATATATATATATATATATATATATATATATATATATATATATATATATATATATTAGGGAAAGCAATAAAATTATTATTCGGTGAACAAATAGTTCCTTTATCGCTTCCCCCTAAATGGACAATACTACCCAGTCCCCTTAGCGGAAATTTTGCAGTACTGACGAGCTCCGTTTTCTATGGATACAAAACAACAAGACAATTACACCCATTTGGGAAAATAATGGCTATGTGCGTGAGCACATGCCGATTTATTAATTAATCCAAAATGAATATTAATTTCCATAAATGACAATAACAGTTCTCACAGAAAAGGTTGGGGCATTCTCCCGCCACAAGCCTCCTTGGGTAGGAGGCACCCCCACCCGAGCAGAACTGCAAAGGCCAAACTAAACCTAACAAAGTAGGTGGTAAATCAACTGATATAAACGCTATCGAAATGCACATTTTAATAAATTGTTTTTACTTGCAATGCCAATTTAGTAAAAGTAAGGAACTGAACCGACCGTATACGCCTTGCCCCTGCGTCAGCAAAACGGCATGGAAACAGAACCTTACCACTAACGCGGATCAAATAGAAATGTGCGACTTAAAATCTGGTAACTAATACTTCGGCTACTTGGTCAACTATGCAGCCATATCGATCCCCATTCGCATAAGATTAACTTCTCAAACTACTCGGTAGTTATAATGTTTGACATGCGAATGTACTTTCGGAATGCGTCAGATTTCCAACGCCCCATAACGCGAATCTGCGTATCTGAAAAACCACAGTCCGCTGCGAAAGTGGCAGCACCAATACGAAAGCTGTGACCTTTATATTTAGAGGAATCAAGGCCACAGCTACGGAAAACTAATGACAAAAATTCAGAAAAAGTTTTACGAGAGACATCATGTCCATCTAATGTTTTAAAAAGTGGGCCATCAGAGAGCCCCCGATGCGAAAAATAATCCAGAAGGCTTTGCACCGGGCATATGTCCGTACGACGAGATAGTGTAATTGCAATACTCGGATGGTTATAGGAATGCTTAAAATCAACGAATTTAATCTTAAGGCCAACGATAGCGCCAGACGGATCCTCAAGCTTGACCACCTGTTTTACTTGAAGAACCGCTGGAGACCGGGGACAGTAAGTAATTTCCCCAACCCTTAAAAATGCAAAAAATGCCGTTGTACACATGGCCTTAAATAAAAGGGCATTGTAGACATAGAACACAAA